ATTACATCCTGACCTCTTAAATGTAATCATTTATTGTTTCTTCACTCTCATGTTGGTATTGATTTAAACTTTTTTGTTTGTAAGACTAAACTGCACAAATGATCCATATAGTTAGTTTAAAATTGTAGTTTTAGTCAAAAATGTTTGGATCAGCATCAGTGACCTTTTTGTTGTAAGACTAAACTGCACAAATGGTCTATGTGGTTTGCTTAAAATTATCATTTTGATCCAAAAAGGTTTGGAATAGCACCAGAGATCCAAACTTTTCATTTTGTTGCAATTTTGGTCCAATTTGCTTTAAGTTTTTTTCAAATAACAGATTTGCCTCTATTAATTCTTTTTCTGTTTTTCTATATTTCAACAACTAAAAAAAAGAAAAGAAAAGAAAATTTGTTTTGTTACCTCCCCCTCTATCTCTTTGTACATTATGCACACTCAAATACTCAGAATATAAACACTACCATCGCCGGAAAAATATAATGACTCCCACCGCTGGAAAAATATAACGACCACTACCACCGGAAAATTTAAACATCGTCGTCGCCACATGTCAACACCACCACCTCCTGAATTCGAATCCAGATCTGAAGAGCTAGAGGTTTGTTTTCATCGGAAAAACTTTTCAAAATCGAGATTTTCCCAGGTCTGTTTTCAAATCCGAGGTTTTCACCAGAAAAACGATGGGGTACAAGATCGACGATGCAAGTTTCGGGTTTCTAGACGGTGGTGGTGGCTTTAAACGATGGGGTACAAGAGTAACACATTAGGATCGTCGGGAAATGAGAGGGCAGAGGCGGTGACATATAGATTTGTACGCCAACTTCCTCAAGGAGTCGACGATCAAGGATTCGCCAATGTTAGCACGGAGATGGTCAAGCATGTGACGGTGGCGCTAGAAAGCCAAACGACGTAGAGACAAATCTAGATGTCGACGATGTTGTAGATCTGACGCTGGATGTTCACATCTTCATCTTCGTCGGCGGTAGTAGTTTGGATGTTCCAGTGGTTGGTGGTGGTCGAGACGATGAGGATTGAAGACGATAACCCTAATCGAATTCGGATTTGTAATGGTGGTCTCTCCCCCCTCTAGTTGTTAATCGACAGATCGAGTGCTAGATCATCTCCTCTAACGGCGTTGCTAGAGCGACTCTGCCCTTTTCTTCTCAGTTACTTCTTCTTCTCCAGTAGCAGTGGCGAGCTCAAGGCGGCGACGACTTTAAAATCAGAGGATTTTCGAGAAGGGCTTTCCAGATTAAAGGGTGTTGACTAGAAACCTTTGTTGTCGGGTGTATTCTTGGATCTTGAGGGTTGTAGTCTGCAAGTTTTTAGGATTCGAGGGGGTTTGGGAGGTGGTTTCCGGCAAGACAGGTGGTTATGGCAGCAATTCTAGCAGGTGAAATGTTTCTACCTACCAAAAATAGTTTCGTGATATGACTACGACATCCCTCTTCATATTACAAAATGAAAATATGGATCTTAGCCTTAATTTAATTTATGGGTTAATAATTGAGGATTAAAATCAACTAACTTGAATTCCCTCTTCTTCCAACTTTAGATGTTTTATGAAGATATAAATGGTCATCCTCGTTCTTATGGGAATGAGTTTCCTCGTTCTTATGGAAATGGTTTTCCTCAATCCTTTGGAGATGGTCTTCCACATTCGAGCCAAGGTGAAATTGTTTTCCCTTCCTTAGGAAATAGTGGAATTGAATGTCGTCCTCCTTCAACTCTTCTATCTCCGCCTCCTCCTCCTGTGACTCTCCCAACATCACGTTTTCCTTGAGTTGAAATATATAAAACGACTCAAACCCTATTGGCATGTAAACATAAACATGGAAATTCTGTGTGTGCACATGTTATGTGTAACATCCAATTTTTCAAAGCAAAATTTTCATTTTTAATTAACCAAAAACATTGTTCATGAAAACTCATCTCAAGAAAATCACAAGTATCAAATACAAATCATCATCACAATATCAAAGTGTCCTAAAATACCTGGAATCAATAACTACAGGTGAATGTGTACAATCAATCCATTGCATTCCCACAATCATCAAAGGTACCTGAAACACATTTAATCAACAACTGTAACCACAAATCTTAGTGAGTTCCCCAAAGTATCACATACAACACAACAAAAATAAACAACTATGGGTTATCAGCAACCTTGGAGACCACCTAAAGTCTCAGTGGGCAAATAACATGCCCTGTGGATTATCAATGAGTATTAAAACTTTCATTTAGACTTCGTTGGCTAATTCCTAATTTATTTTTCGTGTTTTGGTTCGAGGTGGCTTAGACTATAAATAACGTGCGAAATTCATAACTTCTTCATATGAACTCTGTTTTCGACATTCTTTATATCCATGACTTTTTATCGACGAGTACTACAACTTTCTTTTAGACTCCATCAGCTAATTTTCATTCTTTTTCAATTTTACAAATTTGAACAGGTTTCGCCTTGTTTCGAAACTTAGGGACCAAGTTTCGCTTATATTCTTCACATACGAGCTTCATTTTCAATTGTCTTTATATCAACGAAATTATATTTATGAGATGTTCAACTCTCATTTACATTGTTGTGGCTAACAATCAACCAACTTTAATTTTGATTTCTGTGTCGTACACTGGTGTACTGTGTTGCACTCGAAACTTTGAAAAACCATAACTTCGTCATACTAAGTCAAATTTTGTCGTTCTTTATATTGATGTGTTCCTATTAATGAGTACTTCGAATTTCATTTAAACCACTTTGGCTAAAAAGCAACCTATCTCTAGTTCACTTTTTTATGACACACATTGTCGTATCGGTTTGAACGAAAAACTTAGATAAATCATAATTTTCTCATACGAAGTCAGATTTCTGTGGTCTTTATATCCACGATATCATCGTCACGACTACTACAATTTTCGTTAAGATTATTTATCATAAATAATATTTTATTTTTAATGTTAGTTTATTCGCTCAACGGTGATTTTATATTAAGATAATCTACAAATATTCTATACTCCTAATATTTCTCCACTTAATGTGTTTACAATAACTATGTATTAGCTCGTAACGCATACGAAACACAATTACCCTATTCAAGGATTTTATTTATTCGATTAAATATATAATATTATTATTATACCTTAAAAGTGTATCATGAATTTGTGGGCGTTACACTTAGATTGCATGAACACATATGACATCATTATGTTTCCGCTGCCATGATAATGTGTTTAGATGCATAGAAAACCTAACAGAAAAAAATGTGATAGCGGTGGTGGTGGTGGCAGTGGAAGTGGTGGAAGTAAAGATGGTTGTAATAGTAGCGGAGGTGGCGGAGGTAATTGAGGTAGTGGCGGAGATAGTGACGAAGATGATGGTGGTTGAAAAAGAAACATCTTATTTATGGTTAGAACTTAGAAGATGTCTTCTAAAACCATAATCTACTTTTTTTTCTTTTGGAAAAAGATGTCAAAAAAATATATTTTTTTCTAACAAAGAGTTTTCCACAAATGTCTTCTCGTGCCCATATATAAGAGGAGAAAATTAACTTTTTGAGAAAAAAAAACACCACCGATATGTTATGTTTATGTTTGGTTATTAACAAAATATGGATGTCCTTGTTTCTCGATCACAGTCAATGGTGGTAGATGTAGTTAAGGAATATATATATATATATATATATATATATATATATATATATATATATATATATATATATATATATATATATATATATATTCCTTAACTATATATATATTCTTAACGGTGGTAATCATGTCATGGTAATCATGTCATGTTCATTTTGCGGGTTAAAGGTTGTGGTTGATGGTTTATAAAAGTTCAACCCAGACATGTCACATATAAATATTTGTGTCTTCTTGCTCAACTCTAAATCAGATAATCACAGGCAGATCAAACCGTGTGACCTATTTAATTATATGAGTTCATGAGTTCGTGGGATAGATTTAAGTTTGTGGGTCAGAATCAGGTTTGTGGATCATGGAAAAAAGTCTAAATATCGCATACTTACTTATTAGTCCTTACTCTCTCCTTTATTTAATAAATATATTTTTATTTTTTAATCTAATAAAACAAACGGGTTCACAATCAACCCACAAAATTATTTGAAAACTCGAACAAGACCTATATAATAAATAGGTTGGCGGTTTGTGGGTTGGTGAGTCAGAAAAACTCAACCCAAACCCATTTATCTTCATGTTGGTTCGGTGGTCGTGTCGAAAATTGACACCATCTAGATATTCTAACACTACTAGAAAAAAGGATTTCCTTGACAGACATTGTCTGTCGTAAATGCCTATACATGATAGATAAATGTTTGTCATTAAAAGCCATGTCATAAAAGATAATGACAGGCATTTGGCCTATCATAAACTTTACGACAGGCCTTTATGACCCACAATTACGACATACATACACGACACACGTTTTCGACATACATTTACGATTGGCTTTGTATGTCGTAATTTGTAACATTCTTGCAATTATGACAAACATTTATGACATTCTAAACAACATGATTTTTGACAGTTTTTTGCATGTCATGGCTTTATATATATATATATATATATATATATATATATATATATATATATATATATATGTGTGTGTGTGTGTGTGTGTGTGTATATATATATATATATATTCTTAATTTGTACCACATATTAAACAAACTAAATTACACATTTAATGTCTAATAATGCAAAATAAGATATCATACATATACCAAAAACATCCCATTACACTAACCATAATGTCAAAAGGTTCTCTTGCAATTTTGATTTGCATTTGAATTTTGTAAGGTTTTGGTTCCATCGGAATCACTGATTTCAATTCTATCGTAATCGCTGATTTTGGTTCCACCTTTATATATAATTAAATTTCGTGGATTTGGCAGTAGAATGGAATCATAGATTCTGATTCCAACATAATCACAGATTTCGATTCCATCAGAATCACTGATTTTGGTTCCACTTTTGGATAGAATTTAACTCCTTTTATTTGGTAATGGAATGGAATCACATATTCGAATTCCGTCGGAATCACAGATTCCAGTACCACCCTCATACCTTTCGTATTCTTGTAGATTGTGATAAGAATGGTTTAGCAACGCGTGACCACTTTCCACAAGATCCCTCCTGATATGCACCAGATTGATAGCTTTGGCTAAGTCCTCCAAAACACAAGCTTCTGAACCCCGCAACTTCAAACAGAATTCCATCGATTCCAACACCATGCTAAGCCGGCATCCGAACCTTCCAACCCTAAAATTAACCAAGGTTATTTTAGTAATTTCAAATCACTCTAACACACACAAGCACACACACACCTACAGTATATTGAAGGGCAGCATAAACACGGAAAATAGAAGGAATAACATAGGGGTCTCGGGCACCTGCTGGGGCAGTCAAAAGGGCAGCATTCTTTTTGCAGCAATGACAGCATCAGGTCCAGTAGAGCCACCCATTGCCTTCAACATTGCTTGTGGGGTTGATGGAAGCATGTAAAGGGTATTATCAGGATTTCCATAAAAGCCGAAACTTCTTAATAAATCAAATCTTTTACAGCATTTGATGTGTCAATCACAACTTTACAAGCTGGAATAATTGTACTTGATGTATAGTCTGCTGCAACTAATGGTTGTTGACTTTATCCACTTTTCCACACATGTAGATTCTTGTCACCAAATACATATGTAATTATGGTGTTTGTATTGATTCACAGGACCCTAAAGAAAAGTCAAAAAAAAATCATCAGAACTGCAGTAATGATAGATCCCTGTTGAATCTATCGTATACCCCATACATTCTAACAGATTCACAGGAACAAAACCACTCAATAATACCAGTAAATTAAAGATAGATTTCCATTCATTCGAGAGGAATGGTCTCTCCAAGAAGAACAAAGTTGTTTACAGATTAATTCTCAGCTACCTTCCTCATACTACTAACTACTATATATACTACTAAAGAAAAGGATAAAAGGGAATAACAGCCAACATAAATCAGGTGATGTTCCCACTAACAAAACAGCCAATAACAGCCATAACACTAAAAGGACCAAAGTACCCCTATAGCAAAAAAGATAACAGAATAACTCTTTAGAAACTAAAAGCACTATAGGATTAGTTAGGCTTATCAAGTAATCACTTTAAATGTGTGCATACAAAAGGTAGGAGCATACAACATCTGTGGAAAACTTGAATAGTTCTTCTCCATCATTTAAGGTGAGAACTCTAATCTTGGTATTTGATGCAGCTAATATTTCATCATCTATCATTACAAGAAAACAAATGTTAGAAAAAAAAGGTTAAGACAATTTAAGGACCATGTGTTGGGAAGACTCGCCAGAAAAATATATACAGATGAAGAGATAAGTTTATTTGAGATTTTCATTTCTTTTAACAGTTCACCAGTTTCAGAGTTCATTTCGCATGTTGTTCCATCTGTACTTATAGCACAAAGTTTACGCCCTTTGTTTGCAAAAGAAAGAGCAGCAATAATCAGAAAATTTATGATCATACCATCTTATTATTTTTCCTAGCATACCTATGATGATGTCCAGAAGATTTCCATTTTAACTCTGCAGAAGTGGCATTAATGGTGAAGACTTCACCATCATTTGTTCCCAATGCCATCAAACAAGTAATATTTTCTTTTCTGCGTTGAGAATTAAGAGGGAGAAGAATAAATAAGGGATTATGGAGCCGGATATGAAACTATTAAGGCAAATATGGAGTGTGAGAATTGAGATTTCCAATGCACTAAAGAATATTCAAACATAACTCGATGGTTTTGGATCCCAAACCTGTAATTCAAACATAATCTCCTATCGGGATCTCTCACATAATCCTATAAATGGTTTTAAAGCTAATAAATAATATATTCAATCCAATCTTTTTTAAAATATATTAATAAAACTACCTGCAATTCTTGAAAGATAATTGAGATTGATTCATTTGTAGCAATGGAAGAAAGGATTTCAAGTTTTAGAGATTTGACTTGATATGCATATGAAGTGTTTATAAAGAGGTCTTCAAAATTTGGAGAAAAAATAGAAGGCATCACTTTTGTAACGACTTGAATGTTGCAGAGGACCCGTGTCAATTGCAAAAACCTACTTCTTCAAATAGTATAATAAATACGATTAAAACAGTTTCACTAATTTTAATATTTGTTTTAATGTTACAGAGGACCTGTGTCAGGTGTAGAGAACCGGAGTTTTTTGAATCGTAGAGAAGGATGAATGCTTAAAAGTGGGACATATACACCCGAAAGATCAATCTCTCATTAAGAGATTACTTCTTGATTGTTGTTACCAACATCTTCATCCCACTCATGGAGAGATTGATTCATGATTGTTGTTACCAACATCTTCACCCCACCTCACCTGTTGAAATGGGTTTGAAATTTAAAGAATGAAAGTATAAAATAATAAAACTAGTTATGAGGTTGACATATGAAGTACCATTATGCATCTCCATTTTGATTTAGACCATTTGTAAGGAACTAAGGATCCATGTCACTTACTACGGTCACATGGATTATCTTCACCTTTGAATTGACTACTCCAAATCCATAATTTGTATGAAATGTTAAATGTCAAGTTGCATTAAATCAGGAAAGCTAATAAGTAAAAAACACTAATCGCATATTCCAAAACGAAGTATGTGTTAGTAGTAACTAATATCCATATTAACGAAATTAAGGAGTATCTCCAATCTAGCTCTGCTATTACTCATATCAACATGAGTTTTCTGAGTAATCAAAGATGAAAATTATCTATTGCTTCATCACATGCTGAGATACTACTGGAAATGCAAGGATGGTTGAAAAGTAGAGTGAAAATGTAGAAGGTGATTCATTGTGTACCTGTTGATGACAGAATCTACGATGATTTGAATGGGTTAACAAATGGATGATTTCCATTGCGTGTTTGAATATGCGAACAACCACAGGCTTTTTATCATTGTTTCTCCCATGCATCATGAGAGAGTTGGTTAATCGCTCCACAATTAGTCATTGAGCCTTCCTGAACCTCCTTGCTTGGTACCTTCCAGTTGTGTGAGGCATGTAGATTGGGTGCTTTGATGCAGTAGCAGTACAGAAAGATCAGGAACCTGTTTACAGAATTTGCATATTATTCTAAATCAACCAGATCAAGATTGATGTTCATGAGCTAGAATCATAATACATTGAGCTTAATTTCACACAACCATTGAAGAAATTAACAGGAAGCGCGGATACTGAAACACTTTACACAAACAAACATCTACTGATACCTGTGAATTTGGATCAATCAGTTAAGAATATAACATGAACGTCATCGTAGGTCCAGCGGTTAAAAAGCAAGATATCCCAGCGAGCCTTCCCGTCATCAACAATAGGTACGACGACCTCCATTGCTTACGATTCTTACTCAAACTGTAGAGCAAAATCCTTTGTGATTCACGAATTGGTGGAAGGAATGACAATGGCGTGACCGGTGGGGTAGTGGAAATTCGGCGAGTGGTGAACGAGGATGGAAATAGCGAGGCAACAAGTTGATTTCTTGAGCGAGGCAACCCTAATCGATCGATGCTTTCTTTGATTTGATGGAAATGGTGAGGTGATTTTGAATGGTAATACGAGATTTGAGGGTATCACCGTATCTGAGCCTTCCAGTGAATTGTTACAATAAGAAGCCCCACTAATCTTACAATGTACGATACTACCCTTTTATTTCTCTTTTATTCCCTCTTCAGTCCCTTGAGATATGATATATTCTTCAAAGGAAGATATATGGAAATATGAGTTGCAAACGTGAATTTCATCGTGACCCAAGTTGTAGCGCCCCGATTCCAGGTATGGATTTAAATGAAGAATAATTGGCCTTATGTCCTACTCGGTGAGTTGGTTGCCCTACTCGCCGAGTAGCAGCGGGAATAGAACGCATGTTTAGTGACCTACTCGACGAGTCCACTAAGGGACTTGGCGAGTAGGAGCTGGCAAATGAAACCCTAAATTTTGGGGGTTTTGCACCCTATTTAAAGGATCATTGGCCTCCACCATCCTCCCTTTACTGTTTCTTGTCCCTCTCAAACCCTAAATCGTGTGTGTGTGTTCCTTGGTGTGTTCAAGCTTGAAGGAGTAACCTTGGAGAAGGAGGCACTTGAGGTAGCAAGGAAAAGCAATGCCAAGAATTCGTGGGAAGCTAAGGGATTTCCTCAGTTATCACTCTCTAGAAGGTATTAGGTTGTTCCTTAAGCTCATTTCTCTTTTAACCTCTCTTGGATGGGTGTTATGAAGGGCTCTCCATGTTTAAGCTAAGATCTGAAGTTGTAACTTCAGATATGGACTTCCCTTAACCTCTAGATTCATAAAGTTCCCAGCTTGTTTAAGGATGAGACTCTCCCAAGGTGTAAAACTCCATTAAGAGCTTAGATTGATCATTTAGGGCCTTTAGAGCCTTGCATGTGCGTAAAGTTTGCAACTTTACTTGATAAACATGCCTTAGGAGCTTGGATCTGCAATATGGGACCTTGCCATGGCTTAAAAAGCATCTGCATGGATTAAGAACTGCAAGGACTCGGCGAGTTGAAGGAGAAACTCGGCGAGTCCGTTGAAGATGGCCATGAACTCGCCGAGTTGGATGAACAACTCGGCGAGTTCGTTGAAGATTGCCTTGAACTCGACGAGTTGTTAGAAGACTCGGCGAGTTGGCTAGGGTTTCTTCCAAATCTTGGCCACGTATGAACTCGACGAGTTAAAAAGGGAAACTCGACGAGCCAATTAATGATTTCACGACTTCTCGAGTTCAGGAAGGACTCGTCGAGTCGGTGATCTGCACTCGGCGAGTCGAGTCAACATAGACTGTTGACTCTGACTGTGGACTTTGACTTGGACCAAGAGTTGACCAGTTGAATTTTGTTGGTTTTTGGTAATTGGGAGATTTATAAAAAAGGTTGTATGGTACATATAGGTGGTGGAGTTCGTGTTGGACCCAGGAGTTGAGCTTTCTTATTTTTGACGATAGTTGCGAGGTGAGTTATCCTCACTATACTAAGGGGTCTAAGGCACCAAGGCCGGCCGATTGGATATGATATCCTAGTAGTTGTATTATGTTGAGTATGAGTTAGTTGTGCATGCTAGTTTGAAACGCTAGAGGGTAGGCCTGTAGGACTACCTGTGATACTGATTGATTGCCTGTATGTGCATTATCTGTTACATGTTTATATGTTATGTGGGATGGGTTGAGGTTGTACTACTCCGTGCGGTAGCCAACAAACCCTAGAGTATTCCAGATATGAGTTGATGGCACGGTAGGCAATCCAGACTCATACTAAGGACTTGGGAGCATTCCAGATACGAGCTGAGGGCCCGGTAGGCATTCCAGACTCGTACTGAGGGCTCGGTGGCAATCTAGATATGAGCTGAGGGCCCGGTAGGCATTCCAGACTCACACTGTGGGCCCAGGGGTATTCCAGTCTGTAAAGTCGTGGACCCGTTATGTGTTGTTCTGCTCAGTTTGTTATGATATGTTACGGTGTGACATGGTTATGTGGACTGTATGTGTATCGGTATTTTCGGGGTAACTCACTAAGCTCTCAGGCTTACAGTTTTAGTTTATTGTTTCAGGTATATCAGGGGATCGCGGCAAGGTGAAGGCATGATTGTACAACTCCTCCTATTATGTTATGTTCCTGGGAAAACTCTGATATAAATGTATTCTGAAAACAAAGTTGTAATGTTTTGATGAATTCGACATGTTTTGAAAGTTTAAATTTGGCTTGAATTTTTGGGTGTTACACAAGTTTATCCCTTTATTTTATAATTCATATCGTTTTTTTTTGGGAGCATTTCTTTGTGCATTATTAAAAGAGTTAAGTAATGGATCAATATAGGTTCGATTTAAAAAAATGTAACTTTTTATTTAGTTAACAGTGTTGGATATATATATTAAAGGATTTCAATATAATTTAGACAACTTATGGACCATCCTCCATTTTCATAGTAACTTTTTTTGCTTTACATATTTTAAATTGATAGTCATTTTATCCATAGGATGGCACTCGTAGCATTCTCCTTACCTAGTCAAGATAGTCACCGACAACTATAATTGAAACGTACAATTTTTTTTTTCTTCCTTGCCTCTTTTAACAAATAACAACTATATAGCTTCTATCAAACTTTATCAAAAATACCCCATATTAAAATTATATATCCATCTAAGATAATATCTATATAATAAATTATTCTATATTATCTTAAAAACTTTAATTATTCCTAGATTTCTTTGGATTGAATTTTAATTTTCAAAAGCATTTTTCTATTGAGTTACATTATGTATCCTTTTAATTTTAACTTTTTCTTATAGTAATAAAGGATAAAAAGCAATTTAATTTACTCTTTAAAATATGACATAAATTGATGACAGACATCTCTGTCTGTCGTAAATCATTGATTTTTTAAAATATATGACAGAAAGTTTATGACAGTAATTTATGCCTGTCATATAACTGCTGTATGTAGTAATTCGTCTGTCAAGAAAAGCCTTTTTTCTAGTAGTGTAAATCAGTAGTTCCATATGGACAATCACAAGGTACACAGACAGATCATGTATCCAATTCTAATGTTTTTTGAGAAAATTGATGAAGCTCTATTTGTGAAAAATGTCCCGGTTAAAGTAGTTGATCTTGATCCAGTCGTAACAATCAATGATGAGCCGGTGGTAACAAATGTTGAGTATATAGTTAGTAATGATGATGATTACTATTATTTTATAGATGGAGTTGATGGGGACTACACTACATACAATGTTACTGAGGGAGAAGATGCAGAATTGTCATGTAATGATGATAACACTTAGATGATAACACAAGTGTTAAACATACTCTCGTGGAAGGACCGATCGAATTGGATTTTGAAACTAGAGGGACCAACCATATAATGCCAATGAACGTTATCTTCAACTTGCAACCTTCTAGAAACCACATATGCCATTTTTAAATTTGTGTCTTGTCTTAAAGTTATTATTTCATATGTTTGATTTAATTAAAATAAATAAATAAATAAAATAAAAATAA